GTAACGGAGGTGAAGAGCAAGTATGTGTTGTTTCGGTTGAGAATTGGGGTTGTGCGCGCCATTTTTCACACAGAGAGAAAGCCAGAGCGACTGAGAGAATTTGAAGAAGAAGGAGGGGAGAGGGAGAGAGAGAGAGAGAGAGAGAGAAGAGGAGAGAGAAAATGGAGGGAAGGGTAAGGAGTAGATGCTGAAAGAATATACGGGGAGGTTGACAGGGAGCGCGAGAGAGGTTCCAAAACCGTCCAACGGTGGAGGAGGAGGAGGAGGAGGAGGAGGAGGAGGATGGCGTGGCCTAAATATCGAGGCACCTCAGACGCTGTGGATCTCAGTCTTTTTCTTTTAAGTTTTCATTTTATTTCTATTGAATTTTTGAATTTTTAAATAAAACTGATTTTTGTCCTTTGCGTGGCGTCATATAGGACTTACTAATTCGGAGTCTAAATAAATAAAATTAGGATAAATTACACAAAATTACCTTAATTATTGGACTAGTCACAATTTCATACCTTATCTTTAAAAAATGTTAATGTCATACCTCATTTTATGAATTTGTTACAATTTCATATATTCCGTCAGTTTGTCTGTCAATTATTCCCCTAAATAGTGACATAACTTGAGACAAACCCATTTTCAATTTCAACTAGATTAAAAAATTAACTAAATATTAAAAATTAAAAAATTAAAAAATTAAAAAACCATACCCACACACACCCAAATCCCCTTCCTTCCCCCTCACTTCTATGCAACTCCCGCCCTCTCTTCCTCCATCTCCACCTCTCTCCCATGGCGCTCCTCCCCCTCCCCCTCCCCCTCCCCCTCCTACACACCCATCACCCTCTCTACCCAGTTTTCACTTCAATCTCACTTCACTCTTGCACCTCCACTGCCTCACTGAAAAGGAAAATGTTGGCAGCTAAAACCCTAATAAACCTATCGCCATCACTCAAGCTCCCAAACAACCTCTCTTTTTGCCACAAATCCCCATTTTCTTTCTCGATCCGCAACATTCTCCCCCAATCCCCGTTGTCTCCTGATCCCACCCCGGGACAACTCCGAGTTGACATCCTCGCCGAGTCTCTCCCCTTCATCCAGAAATTCCAAGGCAAGACCATTGTTGTCAAGTATGGTAGCGCCACCATGAAATCCGAGTCCCTCCAGGCCTCCGTCGTCAACGACCTCATCCTCTTCTCCTACGTCTACCTCATGCCTATCCTCGTCCACATCGGCGGCCCCAAGATCAACCTATTTGCTCCAGCCGAAGGGGGGAAGCGGCGCGATTGAAGAATGTGAAGGAGTGGGAAGAGAAGCTAGAAGTGGAGGAGACGAAGGCGGGTGGGATCTAGGTTGGGTGGTTCTGGTTTTGAGTTGGGGGAAGACGGGAAGAAAGGTGAGGGGGAAAAAGGTGGGTCCCACATGCAAAAAAAAAAGAGTTTTAACAAAAACACTCATGGTGCAGTTCACTTTTAACGAAAAATCACATTTTTACCTTTAACTGGCACTATTCACTATACCTTTAAAAATGGCTTTTCTTTAAAAGAGAAGTTTTTTTGGACTTTTCGTTAGTTTTCCTAAAAAAAAAGATTTTATTTTTTTAGTTTTTAACATTTAATTAATTTTTAATATTTTAATAGAGAGTGGGCTCCGTCTCAAGCCATATCATTATTTAACAGAAGAATTGACAAATAAACTGACTGAATGTATGAAATTGTAACAAATTTGTAAGATGAAGTATGACATTGACATTTTTTAAAGATGGGGTATGAAATTGTGACTAGCCCAATAGTTAAGGTAGTCTTATGTAACTTACCCATAAAATTATTATCTTCCGTCTACAAATCTTCCCTTCTTCTTAGTTCTTTACTCTCTCTTACAATAGAGAGATTTTTCTATGTGCTCAAAATACAAGTCAGGAGACTCGGAAACACATATTATTAATCAATTTGAGGAAAATTTGATAAAGAAAGTTTTCTTCTAATTATATAATAAGATATGCCGTACTATCTCGTATTTCGAGCAAATTGAAAAATCTAACCCAAAAATGAGCAAAGGATGAAGAGATGAAAGTTGACTGAAAAGACTAATTTGGAAAACTATTCCGTCCAAAGAATAGTACTTTCACCTTTCAGCTTCTTCCGGTTAATATGAGATGTTAAAAACCGATTTAGATAAAACTTATTTTTATTTTCCCATTTTAACAATTTTTAAACACTAAAAAAAATATTTATTTCCAGTTTTAACGTTTAAATTCTTTTAATCTTTACGCTATAGACTGATCCGACGGTCGATAATTAAAATTTGGTTTAATATGGAAGTACTAGCATAGACTTTTCCATTTTTGTAAAAATTCTAATTAGTGCATGTGTTATGTTAGGGTTTGCCAGCTCCTTTTACACTCTAGCTAATTAAGGTTAAATTTTTTTTAATCAAATCCAAACTCAATCATCTCAAACTCTATATAAATTAATACATTTGGAATCCATTTTTAACAGATTTCGTAATTAATTGCGTCTTCATTTTTCCAAGAAATTAAACACATTAATCATGGAGCAAAAAACCACCGTCCTCTTTTTACTCTTATTCTCTTTGGCCTCCTTTCTATCTCTACTAATCCCAACCACCGCATCTCCGCCTGTATCCGCCGTTTTCGCCTTAGGCGATTCAACGTTGGATTCGGGCAACAACAACCGCCTCCCATTCACCCTTTTCAAAAGTGACCACCGTCCGTACGGCCGGGACTTGCCAAACCACGTCCCGACGGGAAGGTTTTCCAATGGAAAACTATCAACGGACTTCATGGTCTCCAAACTTGGCCTCAAGGACTTGTTGACCGCTTACCGTGACCGGAGACTGACTGACCGTGACTTGCTCACCGGTGTCAGTTTCGCGTCAGGTGGTAGCGGTTTGGATGATCTGACCTTGGCCGTGTCGAAGGCTACGAGTTTGTCGAGGCAGTTGGAGGACTTTGATGAAGCGTTGAGGAGGATGAGGAGAACTGTTGGGGAGAAGAATTGTAGTGAGATTGTCAACAACGCTGTGTTTGTGATTAGTGTTGGGACTAATGACATGGTGTTTAACCTCTACGATGTACCTGTTACACGGAGGAAAATTGAGTTTTCACCTTCAGGGTACCAGGATTTTCTTCTCAAAAGACTCGGGTCGTTCATTCAGGTATATAATTAAGTAACCCTTAATCAAGTGACCTGGTGAATTAGTAATATTAACTAGCGGTGTTACAATCAAATCCTAGGTTTTTTGCTGTAATTTTAGCCATGCATGATTATGATGGTTAATTGAGTCTATGATTCTAATGTTTTGTGTGCATGCATGATTATTCGTGCAAGTCCTTTCCCTAAAAAAAATTAAAATTTAATTAAACTTAATTGATAGTAACTAAGATCAACTTAGATCTACCAACATGGTATTTAATTTTGGTATGTACAACCAATTAACAACTAGCTACTTATGTTTGGCCTACATTAATCGATTGTCATTACTAAAGGGGAACATCTAAGGGGTTGTCTAATTAAGGTAGGGTTTACTGTTATAATTTTGCATGTTGATGTTATAACTTATAATTTAGATAAATTAATAACACTACCTTCGACATGCTATGCTTATAATGTTATTCATGATATGCATGGCAGAACCTACATAAGAGGGGAGCGAGGAGATTCCAGGTGGCGGGTCTTCCGCCAATTGGATGTCTGCCAATGCAGCTGACCATTGGCAGCATCTTCAATGGGCTTCGGCGTGTGTGCGTGGAGCAGCAAAACAAGGACTCTCAGGCTTACAACACCAACCTCCAAGGCCTCATCCAAAGATTGCAAGCCTCCCTCCCCGGTTCCAGGCTCGCCTACTTCGACACCTACCATCCCATCTTGGACATGTTCAATAACCCATCTAAATATGGTAAGTACATGGTTTTGAATATTGTCACGCTTCTTATCATTTTATTTTTACATACCTAATATACATATATATATATATATATGTTTTCTTTGATTTTCTGTGCTTAATTTTTTATTGATTTCATTTTGTTTTAATACTTGATATATGTGTGTAGGGTTTGTGCAAACACATGCAGGATGCTGTGGAACAGGGATGGTAGAGTTGGGTCCAATGTGCGGGAAGCTTTCACTGACGTGTCCAGACCCTTCTAAATTTTTGTTCTGGGATGCCATGCATCCTTCCCAAGCAGCATACAAAGTTCTTGCTGACATATCAGAGAAGACGGTCTTGCCGTACCTTACTGCTTGACTGGATATGGATTGATCAATTTTTTTTCTTTTTTCTCGTAATTAGTAACTTGGACAAGGTAAATACGGCAGGATATATATCGCACAATCAGTTCGATCCAAGAATGCATTCTTTTCCTTTTTTTCAAGTTTTGAAATAATATAAATTTGGTTAGCTTTTACTTTTTTTTGGGGGAAATAATCCTTGGTTACTTTTGAAGCATGTAATCATATAAGGATTGTGTTAAAGAAAAAATGTTGCTCAATAATTTGCCTTCAATATATTGTTGTATAAAAAAATGAAACATGTACTCAAGATGCAACATAAGTTCTAAAGCAAAACCTAGCATCAGATAGTCTGCAGAAAATAATACTAATATAGATCAGGAGCATATTTACTTACATTGGGTTTACAACGTAGGGCTCGTTGAAAGTGTTTTAACATGACCGAAAGTGCTTTCGATAAAAATGTTTTTGCAATCAATCCTTAGTGAAGACACAAGTGAATCATAGAAAAGCACTTCAAATGCTTTTAGAACCCAAAACTATTTTCTTTAAGTCATTTTAAAAGTATTTCCAAACGATCCCGTAATCATACATGTTGAGAATTTCAATACATTTGACATCAAATGTGGCTAACTGTAGCCTACAAAATAGGAGACATATAGTAATTCCTTTTTGTGTTTTGGCTAAACGAAAGACAATTCATGTGATCTAAAACGAAATTTCATGAGGAAAATTAATGTTAATATTATTTGCAGGAACATATGGTTTCAGAGATAACATATAAAAGTTAATAAATTTTGGATTTCCAAGAAATATTGTTCTTAATCAAGCACCAAGATTTTGGTTTTTTATTGACCTAAAAACTAATAAAACAAAGAGACCAAGAAATAGGAACCTAAAAACTCTCAAAACAATGTACATATATGACCACCAAACTGTGCATATTTGGTAATGCCAAAAAACACATTCGTCTGTTTATACCTCGTTATTCCCCAGTTTTTGAATCATTTGCTAATAATATTGCTATCTATATATCATGGATCGATACAAGACATTACATATACAACAAAATCAAATGATCGAACAACGAAAGAGTTGACATCATTACCTTTTTTTGTGACGGTAGAATATGACAGTGGTCAAGTTCAAAATTCATTAATTTGTTTGAATTTAATTTTGGAAAGTACCTCAAGATCTCACTTAGAATAATATTGTCTCATTCATAGAGTGAGGTCCAGAGTACTTGCCATGTTCTTCCCGTGCTTGCTGTCACCGTAACCAGTAGTACCTTCTAATTTCTTCACGCCAAGTTTCGAAGATGACGACGAGGACAAAGAGAGAGATAAACTACAACCCATGTGTAGTTTTTGATGATTATCACCACCACACTGTAAACCTTTTCCGAATCCATGACCATGTTTTGGTGGAACTTTTAGTGACAGATTTAAATCCAAGTCACTGTTGTCTGTGTCGAAAGCCATTCTTTTCAGCATGTTTTGCCCTTGATGATCTCGAATCGCTGCACTCCAACTATGATGATCTTGGCATGGCCTGTGGATCACAGTTTGACATGACTCATCCCGAGTAATTTGATGCCTTCTCCAAGTGATTTGTCCAGGGTTGGGAGATGGAAGATTTGTATGTAACTGATTTGCTGAAGTAGTCCTAATATTGTTATTGTTGCTTCCAAGTATTCTTTCAGCAACTGAACCATAAAGTTCAATATTTCTGGTATTATGATCAAGTAGTGCAGTAGTCCTACTTGAACGGTATGGGCCGTATATCTGGTGGTGGTGGTGGCGGCCTTGCCACGAGGAATGATCTGTAGCACCATATCTAATACAAAAATGAAGATTGAAATGGTTACTATCAGGATTCAATGAAAAATGAAAGACTAAAAAACACTTTATTTATAAATTGTTCAAAATTAAACAGTAAAATTAAGAGAACTATTTCATACCTTAATCCGGAAGAAGGCCATTTTTTTAAGCTTTGTAGCATGGAGAGTTGAGTAAGGTTGTAAAGTTGGTTATCTCCACCTTCCATAAAAAATCCTGCATGATCTGTCAAAACTGTCACATAATAAGAAAGCAAGATCTCTCAAGAGATTGTAAATATGTAAACCCTAACTTTCGTATTAGTTTTTGGAAGAGTAGGTGAGCCTGTGTGCAATTTGTTAACTTGTTCACCTTGATTGGGGTCTTCCATCTTCTTGCTCCTATGCATCTGATGATTAGAATCAAAACCAGAAAATGTAGAAAAATACTAATCAGATATATATGAACCCTTAATTTATATTTATTCATAGTACTGATTCTTATAGATAGTACACTTAGTAGAGAAAATATACAAAAGATCATGAAATCGATCTGGATCAAATCAATTACTTGAAGATGGCTCTTGACATGAGCTATACTAAGACCCTTAACATTCATCAATTGAAGAACCAACTTAGGAGTTGCTCCTGCACCATTAAAACACAATTATTAATACTTCATTAATTAGGAAACAGGAACTGACGGGGAAGCTAGGCTAATCTCATAAATTAATCACAAAACCTAGCTTTGATCATATGCACTAAACTTACTTTCTTGTCCACCTAATCTTTCAACTGCATGAACAAAGCGAAGATGGAGATCAGGTGTCCATCGAAGCCGCGATGTCTTGGAACGAACATACTGCCTTACAGATCCAGAAGCTCCCTTCTTTTCATGGTTTTCGTCAATGGTGCTATTGCTGGAGCTGACACCGTTATTGCTCAGCTGAAGGCCATCTTCATCCACCTCATCCTCTTCACCCTCATCGTCTTCATGATCGTATTCCTTCTTGCTGGTAGAAGGGCTTGATTTAGAAACTTCTTCCATACTGGTGCTTTCACTCTTCATCCCTAATCTCTTTATGTTTTGCTTCCCAATAATATGGTATTGATGGGCAAGTGATGGCCAGATCTTGAATTCATCATATTTCTCTTTAACCATGAAGTGATCTTTGATGTTTGGGGAGATCCATTCTTTGCATACAAGCTAGCTATAGGCAGTTGAGCTAGCACTTACAAGAATGGAGAAATTGGAGATGGAAATTTTATATGTCCTGGCTAGCTATAGCTAGCTATGACAAATACATGATATTATTAATAAAGTATTTAAACGTCTCACTCTCTCTCTCTCTCTCTCTCTCTCTCTATCTCTCTCTTCTTCTCTCTATATACATTATACAATATTATATGAGCCTTGCATATATGATGCAAATTTTGTCCAAGCTTTCATGTACGTATATATATAGATACATGAGAGCTTTATCAATACTTTAAAACACTCATACTGCACTTTGAATATGTAAAAATACAAGGAAGAAAATATACATAAAATGGGATGATAATGACTTTTTTAAGAGTGCTAATAACATGTTTCTACACACACATATAGGGTTAGGATTTAGAGACACACGCTTTTGACACATGTTTTTGTGGAGTCTACTCCGTAATATATATCAACAATCCAACCGTCTATCTTAACGATTTTGGATTTCTCTAATTTTTTGCAAGGAAAATCTATGAATGATGCACTAAAACATAGATAGTTTGAATCGTTGAAATACATTATGAAGTTGGCCCTACAAAATGAATTTCAAAATATATATTAAAAGCGTGTATTTTGGAATCATATATTACTTTCTGAATCATATATAACTCATATATACATACATACACACACACACACACACACAATATATAGTACATGGATACTTCAAATTATTTACCCAAATGGTTACATGCTTATTGGTATAGTAGAACTCATTACCTACCAAACTCCATGGGAGTTTGTTAATAATCGAAATGAGAATAATAATTTATTTAATATATGTGCAAACTGACACACCCCGACCCAGAAATCAGGGCGTGCTGGCCGTCACGTGAGCGTGACGTAACCATAAGTGCAAGCAGAAACGATAAGGTAAGAAATACGAACAAATAAAAGCCAACTAAAAGCAATAACTTCCAACGATAATGCAAGAGTGTTAAACACACATAAATAGAGCATAGAAGCCTAGGTGTAGTCAAGTAGGACTATAATTAAGTTACAACACCCGCAGGTGAGTCCTACATTTAGGTAGTCTGTCAGAACGCCGTGAAATTCCTCGTGAGCCACCAACGCTGCTATCTACAACCTAGACGGGCACAAAACTGAAAACGTGAGTGGGCGAAAATAAAGCTTTTCAAAACAACTCATTTATCAACAATTATATCCCCTCGCTGTAAAACCTGTATACTTCCCCGGAAAATAGTATATAAACATATATATATCATCAAAAGCTCAAATCACAATCCTTCAACGTTTTTCAGAAAGAATATGCCATACCATGCCATATGCCAAAATATAATATGAATGCATCAATATAATTAAGGTGAAATAATAAATCAACCGGAGACCTTACAGTGGTCCTGTACGGCTGATTCTATAGCTCAATATCTCATCCAGCCGGAGTCACCAACTGTGACCTATACGGCACTACACTGCACATAAGTCGGAACTACTTATAGTAGTCTGTACGACTAAGATGGTGAAATAATACGCTCTAGTGCTTCTCTCATCAATCATCTGTGCACATAATCTAAAGTCACCTACCAGTCGGAACCCCTCTAATGGTCTGTACGACTGGCATGTCGGAACCACTTCTAGTGGTCTGTACGACTAGCATCTACTTGGATCCAAGGTGAGCGTGTGATGCAGGGTGAATAACATAAGCACTAACACCAGGGGTGCAGGTTATGAGCTCTCAACACAATTCACATCATTAATAAATCACATGAACAACATAAAACTCACCTGATACTCACCTGTGCGTCCATAGCACCATGTCACATATATGCATCATATACCAATCATATAATTCATATAATTTCTATGCATGGCATTCCAAAACTCATTTCATAACGCATTTCATTTAAATTCGATTTCTGGGCAAAATCAATAGTATATAGGTATATATAGAAAACAATGCCCACTCATTGGTAAGTCGATGGGTCGTAACCCCCGTGACGTCCCTGGATGCGCTCGTCCTCGAGATAGGTGTCACCTATATGCGAAACAACTATAAAAACGTTAATTTCATACACATAACCAACAATTCGAAATAACTTCTCATACGGTGCTCAATTTAGGTATATGAATATACCACATCGACCTATTCGACGTCATGGACGTTGAGAAATTTTTAGAAAAATTTTTGGGCTTGCCACGCACCCCCACGCGCCAGGAAGGGCACGGGTTCACGCTCCCCCCACGCGCGTCTCCTACCTTGGGCTCGCCGGACTGGTTTTTTCAGTGGCCGGAATCTGGGAAATTTTCAAACACCTTGTTCTCATTCGTTTCTCAACCATTTTTCACGCATTTTATATCAAAATGAAGCCCTAAACATGTATAATCACGCTACACTACTTTAAGGCTCTAAAAATCATGAAATCTCACCAGAGAATTTCCAAGAAAACCGGCCAACTTCGAACTCGACGATGCCGACGTCCAAAACCTTCCAACTAGGTACTCCGAGCTTGCTTAGGACCTCACTAAGTTCACTATAAGCTTGGATTGTCCTAAAAATCAACCAACACAAAGTTCATGAATAGTGCCAAACTCGGACCTCGATTTTTCAGCGTGAAAACGAAGGATTTCTTACCTGAAAATGGTATCTTTGAGTTCGTAGAGTCCTCACGAGCACGATGGTGCCTTCAAAATCCTCGATCCACGAAGTTTCAGGGTTTTATGATGTTGGTCCGTACGTTCGAGAGGGAGAGAGAGAGAGAGACTGAACGGAGAGGAGAGAGAAAAGGCACGGGGAGGAAATTGGAGTGTCCCGTGGATGTGTGTGGTCCATCCAAACAAAACCAACTTCAATCCCTAACCACACAAATTTACAAACCAATTTTTATCAAACCTTAAATATATTTCCAAGATTTTAGGAGAGTATATGTTTAAACCAGTTTATATGTCCCATACACATACCTTAGTACCCGCTAAGGGTAATCCTGTCATTTCACGTCCTCGATAAATAAAATCCCGGGACGGGTTGTGACACAAACTATACCCAAAAAGAAGGAAAAAAAGACGGGGATTTCCTTTATATACAGCCATACAGGTTACATAAAGTTGTCATTTCCAAATCTAGTTCCTATGTGCTTAGTACTTTATACTAATCATAAGATATACTCTTTTTTTTTTGTTAATAAATAATAACATTTGTAGATTTTTGCTATAAGTTATAGTTCATCTTCGTCTTAGTGTAATTTGTGTTACGAATTATATGATTAGCATCTCTTTTTTTATTTGGCCAAAGGATCAACTGTAACATTTTGGATTCAGATTAATATATTGATGTCTCCTGTTAACGTTGTCATGTCGATTAAGAGCTAAAGACCACATGGAAACTGGTAGTCAACTTTGAGTTAAGAAAGAAACAGTGGTTTGCACGCGACCTGTGAAGCTATAAGAATCCTGTGCTTGTACCTGGCTTTATCAAAATAAAAAAGAAGTTTAGGTCGTCTGCTCATGACATGTGTTTAGAAGAAAGGAATTAAGATTCTTTCCCCATTTCTGTGTTTGGGGCTGATGGACAGAAAATCCGGATCACTCATTTTAAATCATGTGGTCTTTAATTAGCCTATTTTATTGGCTCACCTCATACAAACTAAGGATCCAAATCCTCTTTCTCTCTCTTCAACAATCCGGATCTATATCATTGAGCTCCGAGCACAGAGATTCATGAGAGGATTTCGACTTTGAAGAAAGAATATCCTATCTTTCATTTACATGCATTAACCGATTAACACATATTATTATTATGAGTATATTTTGCACTCTTAAATTTGGATGTAGTTACAACTTCATACATCGTCTTTAAACCTTTGCAATATCATACCCATAAGTTCCTTATAAATAAGGCCGGGCATGCATGACAAATATTGACCTCAAAATATTTGAACTGAAACTGTTAATGCACAAAACCGGAGGTCTTGGAACAACGTAAATTCGACTGTGAATCTACAAGTAATGTAAATGACACAAGATGTATCGTGGTTCACCCCAAGGTTTGGGCTACGTCCACACTGATTATGTATTTATTTGAGGGAGAGAGAGCTCTGAGAGTGAGAGCTTTGAGATGGGAGAGGAGCCTTAGGAATTGGCCTCCCTTAATTGTGAGGGTGAGGGGTACTTTTATAGAATAAGGACTCCTCACTTATTACATATTTGCCCCTTCTTTTTTTACATAATTACATTTAAGTCCCTCGAGTATTTATATGAGGTCTAAATACAAAGCCCTAAATATGGTATAAACAGTAGTCCCCCAAGTCTTCAATCAAGAGAGTCTTTTGGCTGAAGACTTGAAATTCAGTCCATGTGTGAGCCGAAGTAACTAGATGTTGTCTTGATCTGATGCTCGATATGAGGCGGTGCTCAACCTGAAATGATGCTCAACTAGAAGTAGCACACGCTGCGAGGCTGCTATGCTCGTGGCTTATGTTGCCTTGGTTGGTTCGACTTGTGGCGTTGAAGGTGAGAGAGTCCATTTTATAGAATAAGGGCTCGCTCCTCAATACATAAATGGTGGGCTAGGGGATGCTCGCGGCGAGGCGGTTGCTCAGCAGGCGGCGATGCTCTCTAATGGTGGTGAGGGAGTCCCTTTTATAGAATAAGGGCTCGCTCCTCAATACATAAGTGATGGGTTAGGAGTGATGCTTGTGGCGAGGCTGTTGATCAGCTGGCGGCGTTACTCTTTAATGAAGGTGAGGGAGTCATTTTATAAAATAAGGACTCGTTTCTCAGTACATGAATAATGGGTGATCTCTAATGAAAGTGAGGGAGTCCCTTTTATAGAATAAGGGTTGCTCCTCAATACATAAATAATGGGCTAAGTCCCTCAAGTATTTTTCATGAGGCCCAATATATGGTACATAATGTAGTCCCCCAAGTCTTCAGTCAATAGAGTCTATTGGCTGGAGACTTCAAATTGAATCTATGTATTGAAGCTTTGTAGGTGAAGCTTTGCAAGTGAGGCTTTGAAGCTGGAGCTCTGTAAATGAAGCTTTTGAAGCTAGAGCTTTTGTAAATGAAGCTTCAAAAGAGCTCTGTAAATGAAGCTTTT